GGACATCACTGGGAAAGCGGTCAATCCTAAACTAAATGGCATGAGAGCAAAGGGAAGATCATCTAGTATTACACTACTGTTGTATATTCACTGTCGGCAACTCACATCGCTCTGTATGAGAGGCGGATTAAGTGTGAATATATTGCAAGAATTGAGAGGGTCAAACATGCTCTTTTTTGAGGGATCAGAGATGTTTTTTTTGGACCGGTGTAATTAGATGGGTCTGGGGTATATGAGACACTATTTCTGTTCTTTTTGGGTTGATGTCTCTATGCTGGCTCATTTTGAGTTTCTAGTATAGAGCTCTCACATGCAGGTGTTCTCAACAGTCGCACGGCACAGTGGCTAGTATGAGATTATTCATTTTTGAAGAGATTGAGATAGAGATGTGGCAGTGTCATGCCAACTCATGTGCGAGTGGGAGATGTTAGAAATTGGGTGCCCATGTGGCATGACCCTTTGAACCTGAACCTTTTGAACCTTATTCATATAAGTTTGAATTTGAATTCAAAACTTATTTGGATAACCATTCAGGATATCTATATCTATCATATCAATAGATATGGATAGATGGATAGATTGATAAATATGTGGTTATATATCAGATTATATAGTTAATCTATGAGATATGTATATCAGATATACGTTATGTGGTTTTTACTTATAATCATTTTTCCCAGACTCTCTCTCTGACTCTCTCCCATAAAACAACGATCAAGCCATTTTGCACTGTGATTTGTGTGGGTGATATTCACTATTGTAATATCACTTCATTACTGGGTTGACTGATCAAATTCAGGAAGCACGTGATTTACCTATGACATCCTTCAATTCAGACTCTGTTCTAAAGATATGACTATAATTTTTATTCCACTACGTTATACTTTATTTTACAGTAATTAATTCGAGAAAGCGTTACATTAAACGGTTGCATCTAGCAGGGAAATAATTATGACCGCTTACCTAAAAAATTACATTTATAGTATAATTTTTTTACAATAAAATTATATGTTTAAAGTATGTTCTGCAATAATTTGTAAATGAATCTAAACACTATTTTTATTTGATATTTCGAGGTTAAACTAATAGTTCAATTTTAAGAGTTTTCACTGATGTTCGGATTTTAGTTCTATTTTTTTTTTAGTAAAAGAAGTATATTGCATTCTTTAAAAATATATATATATATATATATATATATAGAATAAATCATCGGAACAAAGAAAATAAAAATAAAATAAAATATATCAAAAAAAAATTTATTTTTAATGTCAGGCTTAAAAATAAAAGAAAGATTTACATGCGTCTACCACTCCAGTGAAGCCACTTTACTGCAACCTTTCTCTCGCTTGAGACGACTGCTGGGAGGTTCTATTTGCACACACCAAACTCTCTTTTCTCACACACTTAATGAAAAAATATATTGGAGAGTTATGTGTGAAAGATATGTATAGAGAGAGGTGTGTGTAAATATATGCTCCCGACGACTACTACTACAATGACCTGACATTTTACATCCGAACCCTTTTCTCGACGGTTCAATTTCCGATGAACTATTCATCGAACCGACCCATACTCATACCCAAAGACCCAAACCCAGTTCCATTTTCAAAACTTGCTGATATTACTACCATTTCCAAAAAACAAAAGATAAACAAAAAAAACACTTTTATTGTCTCCAGATGCTCGACCCGACAACCCGGACCTTTAAACCCACTACCCGCCTCCCGGAGTCTCCTCCACCGTTATCACAACCTTTTCCGCTGGCGGCGGAAACGACGGCATGCCGCCACCATCCCCTGAACCCGACCCAGAACTTGAACCGGCCTCCTGAACAGCCAGCTCAACAGCCGAATTATTTGCTGGGACCGGATTTTCAATGGGTTTAACCGGGGTTCTACAGATCGGACAATTGGCGTGAGAATAGAACCACATGTCAACGCAATCGATGTGAAAGCAGTGGTTGCACTTGGGTAGAACAACGACAGGTCGTTGTCTCCGAATTCGGCTAAACACACGGAGCATTCTAGCGGAGAGGGATGGAATACGGAGTTGTAGAAGAAGGTAGGAAGGGTCTTGAGGACGACCCTTTCAAGGCCTCTCCTATGAGGACTGGAAGCGGTGGTGCCGGCTGCGGAGGCGGGGGCGGAGGCGGCGATGGTGGGTCGGAAGTTGAAGACGAGGTAGTTGGGCCTTGGGTTGGGGTTGGGCTGGTGGCGCGTGAGGTAGTCGTCGCCGTTGCGGCGTTGTTGTTGGAGCCAACGAACGTAGGAATGGAAGGACGGGATGAGGATGCAAACAGCTACTACAGAAAGCAGTGAAATCCACATGAGCTTTCCGTTGGATGAATAGTAGTTGGTTGTGTCACAACAGTCGCTCACTATAATTGCTGAATTGTTATCCATGAGAGAGAGATGTGTTTTAGAGAGAGAGAAAGGAGTGTTGGAAAGAAAGACACGGCGGAGGAGGAGTGATGGCGGGGTTTAAATTGACACCAAGAATTCTCTAGAGTGAAATTTTCTTAAAGTTTCTTAAAGTGTTAGATTGTGTGGTTGAGATTTATTGGCAAGTCACATCAATTTTTCTGATGTGACTTGCCAATAAATCTCAACTACACAATGTAGCACTCTAGGAAACTTTAGGAAAAAATCACTTTAGAGGATCCTTGCTCTTAAATTGAGGCTAATAAGAGCAGCAAGAGCTGCAGGTGGGTTAGCCACCCAATCCAAAGGCAAAAGATTACAAGCATAGGTTTGTGCAACCCAATTAGCAACTTGGTTGTTGTTTCTGGTAGTCCACTTTAGAAGCAAGTTCCCCACTCTGACCAGGTGGCGAATATCTAGCAAAATTGCCAAACCTTCCCACGGAGGCATTGTTTCACCCACTACCAGTTGGATAACTTCTTTACAGTCACTTTCAACAATGGTAGAATTCAAATTGCAAGCTTGGGCCATCATAGTCGCCATCCTCACTGCATGTGCTTCAGCGACAAAGGTAGATGAAGTTGGAAACGAGGAGACTAACCCATCAATAACACGACATGCTGAATCTCTCATAATAGTAGCAGCGGTTACTATGGTTCTGCGTTTGTTAAAACTTGCATCACAGTTAATTTTGCACTCTCCAGAAGGTGCAGGTTGCCAGCCTCGGGCCTCCACCAACGCTGGAGCTGGTGTATCAGTGTGAGTAGAGTGGCCTTTTTGATAGTGTGCTTGGTACTCATTCCACCCCTGTGTTATTTTCACAATGGTATCCATGGGATTAATAGGGAATTGATTGAATAAAAAAAATGTTTCTCGCTTTCCAAATATACCACCCAATAAAAACACTCTTGCTAAGTATCAATTCCTGGTCATCATTCTGGCGCATGGGTTTCATCCACTAAGTTGTCCAATGTGCTACATTCACCACAGACCCTTTTTCAATTCTAATTGAAAAATAACTGATGTATTATTATTGATTGATTTGTGTATTGTTCTGTATATTTATAAAGAGATTTACACTCTCTTTATAGAGAGGAGAAAGCCAACATTGGGTGCCAATTGAGGCACCGAAAGCATAAAGCAAGGATAAGTATTAAAGCTAACATAATGCTGTACTAAACATAATGATAACACTAGCAATACTAACATAGACTACTAACATATTTTAACACTAATATTCGGTAGACTTTCGAACCACATAGCTTGAGTCCATGGGCAATCAAATAACAAATGTTCCACTAATTCATCATCCTTCAAGCAAACAGGGCATACCTTAGATGGTGAGCATCGTCGTCAATGGAGATTAACCTTAGAAGCCAAAAGATTCTTACAAGCCCGCCACCAAAAGTGCTTGAGCTGGGGAGGGGCGTTAATGGACCACAAACGCTTCCAGAACCCTTCAGAAAGTTGAAAGGAGCTTGATGGTTGGGACGGAGAGCTCGGATGCATGGATGTCTTAGCCACCCAGTAGCCAGATTTGACCGAGTACTGCCCCTCTTTTTAAAACTCTCTATTATTGTTGAATTATTAAAAGGTATCTCATTTTTTTTTTGTAAAAAGTGTTTCAAATTGTTAAAAATCTTTTCAAATTGTCTTCTTATCTTCTTCTCTATTTTGATGCTCCACCTCATTATTATAACGTCCTTAATGAGTTGGGGCTTTTTGTGCATATCTTGAAGTCATTAATGAAAGCATGATGTAATCTAGTACCAGATTATACACAAACAAAGCATTAATGAAAACACCAAATGTGGCTTAGAAAATTGACCGAGAAACTAAAGTAAAATTTTGATAAAAATATAAAAATGTTGAGATTTAAAATCAACTTGTAATAAAAGTGTAGAGATGCTAAATATAATTAATACTATTGTAAAATTGATCTCTGCTAATTTTCAAAATGGTGTTACATAAATAGACGGAGGTAAAACTAATTTATTTATACCATTATTCATAAAGAAAATGAGAGAGGCCATTTATCTCATCCTCTCCAGGTTGATTACTCGGAGTATTTTTAGAGTGGGTTTAGCAATTGGTTTTTTTTAGTAAAATTTCTGTTGATTTTGTATTAATCGAAAAGTTCAATTTTAGGCCCCACTAAATTAGATGAAACTAAAAAATAAAAATTAAAAATATCAAAAAAAAGTGTACTAAAGACTTATATTCTGTTTACATTTTAGATTCTTACGAACTTGAAAAATAAATTTTTTTGGACACAAACTTAAAAATAAAAAATAATAATAATAAATAAATTAATAAATAAATAAACTCTTAAAATTGTTGCCGAACATAGGATTAATATGGATTTTATAGCTATCTCTCTTTGCATTCTCACAATTTGAGGTTTGAGTTTCTTCGGAAAAAACGCTTGCTTGTCCCTTTGAAAGCTCGTCATGCTCAATTCATGACAATGCAAGCCAACTGAAAGGTGGAATTTTAGGATGGACTTCCAATTCTGTCTTCTTTCTACATCTTTTTTCCCAAATGACAGTTGACCGCATGTTTTTTTTTTTTTTGATCAGGTCAAATAGAACAGGAAAACAAGAGACTAGCAAAAGCCAAACAGGCGGCCAAACCAGAAGGAGGGTTGGAAACCCAATCTGCAGGAAGTAAACCTTTTTGCATAGCTTTTGCAGTCCAATGGGCTGCTGTGTTGGCCCCTCTAGGACACCAAGAAAAAGAAAAAGACCCTTCCCAAGGAGGATCAGTCTCAGACACACACAAAAAGATGACATTCTTGTTATCCCTCCCTATCTCAACATAAGAAAGGTTGTGGGCGCGAGCCGCATAACAAGCCGATCGAATGGCCGACGCTTCTCCTTGGAAGGAGGATGAGATGTTGACTCTTTGCGTAAAGCCATCCAAAATTTGTCCATGAGAATTTCGAAATACTGCTACCACCATAGCCTTATCTGGGCCTATTCCCATAGCTACATCACAGTTGATCTTTAGGACTCCTGTTGAAGGGGGTTGCCAAGAAGGATAAGGTGTCGAAGGCATCTCTAGCCTTGTGGAACTGATGCTGGGATAGGGTGGCACTGGATGTGCTCGGAACCACTCATCCGTATTCGTCTGGAATCGAAATAAAGTGGAAGAGAGAACTACCCGAGCATGGTTAAAGACATAGTCATTCCTTCCCTTCCAAATTAGCCATTCCAACCAAGCAAACTGCCCCAGAAGTTGAGACGCAGAGGATTGAATCCCCAGTTGGGATTGAATCCCCAGTTGATCTACCAAGGCACAAGTCCATTGTAACACTGATGGGACCTCCTCAATATGTGTTCTGAAATTCAGCGGGCTCCCAAACCAAGTAGCTCGCACCCATCCACAACCAAACAAAATGAATTGGGGTTTTTCAACAACCGCCATCCTTGGCGGGCCAAAAGTGCTAAATTAAAAGCATGAAAACCCAATCATTCTTTATATTTGGAGAGTGTTAAAACCTCCCAGCTTGCCCAATGAATCCTTTTACTCTCTGAATCCCCTCCCAACCAAAAATTACGAATAAAGGAGTTTAATTTATCGCAAAAATGTTTGGGAAAGGCAAAGCAAGCCATTGCATACGATGGAAGTGATTGAGCTACTGCCTTAAGAAGGATTTCGCGACCAGCCAACGAAAGAAGTTTGGATTTCCACCCTTGGAGCTTGGATAACATTTTTTCAATGAGAAAGCTATACGTTTCAGCCTTTGATCTTCCCCAAGAAGACGACAGTCCCAGATAATTAACAGTTGAAGGAGCTTTGCTGATTCTAGTTATTTGACAGATCTCATCTTGAATATCTTGAGGGATATTTGAAACAAAAATAATATTGGATTTGTCAAAGTTGATTAGTTGGCCCAAAGCCTGACAGTATATGCGAAGAATGGCCAGCAAATTAGCACCTTCTTGAGGATCCTCTTTAAGAAACAAAAGAGCATCATCAGCAAATAAAAGGTGTGAGAGGGTTGGGCAATCACTACTACAAAAAGAGTTAAAGATCACACTTTGACAAAAAAAAAGATGTCACTTTTATTGGAAGTGTGATAAAAAAAGCTAGATTAATATTTTAATCACACTTAATTTGATTGAGTGTGATAATATTTATTTTTTATGTCACTTTTCAATTAAGTGTGATTATATATATATTTTTTAATCACACATTCTAATTAAAAGTGTGATTATATATACATTACTACTTTTTAATCACACTTTTTAAATAAGTGTGATTATATATTTTTAAATCCATAACAATTTTCCATAAACAGGGCAATATAAACAAGTATGTCCATTCCCTGGGGAAGTTTCACCAAATCATAAGTCTGATTCTTCTGCAAGGATTGCATCTCTTCTTGCATAGATTGCTGCCAGCTACTCTTCTCCTTATGATTTTGAGCTTCTTGAAAACTTTCTGGCTCCCCCTCATCGGTAAGCAAAATATACTCAGAAGTAGGGTATTTGGTTGACGGCTTAAATTCTCTTGTTGATCTTCGTAACTGTGGACCAACAGTCTCTGGTAGAGGGGGTTGTGGCTCCCCCTGCTCAACACCCTCTGCTTCTGGATCTTCTTCTTCTAGAAATCCATCCTGCAACTCTACATTATTGACTGCATGCTGCGGTAACTCTTCTTCATCAGTGGCATGCTGTGATGGTGCAGGGTTTGGAATAATTTCTGAAACATCATCAACTTTGGGTTTGGCTGGTTGCCCAAAGTCTTCAAAGGTCTGGCTTTCTTGAAACACCACATCTCGGCTTCGAATGACCTTTTTGTGTTTCGGATCCCACAATCTGTATCCAAATTCTTCATCTCCATAGCCAATAAAGATGCATGGAGTGGCTTTGTCATCCAGCTTCTGTCTGTGCTCTTTGGATACATGTGCAAATGCTTTGCACCCAAACACTCTCAAGTAAGAGTAAGAAATCTCCCTTCCAGACCATACTTCTTCTGGAATCTGAAAATTCAGTGGAACTGATGGCGATCTATTGATCAAATAGCAAGCAACACGAACAGCTTCTCCCCAAAATGGCTTTGATAGCTTTGCCATTTTGAGCAAACATCTGACCTTTTCCACAATGGTTCGGTTCATTCTCTCGGCTATTCCATTGTGTTGTGGGGTTCCAGGAACAGTCTTCTCATGCCGGATGCCGTGAGTAGCACAGTAGGCTTTAAATTCCTTTGACGTGTACTCGCTTCCATTGTCTGTTCGGAGACATTTCAGCTTCTTTTCAGTCTCCCTTTCCACCATAGCATGGAATGTCTGAAAATGCTGGAACACCTCTGCTTTGGTCTTTAAGACATAAACCCATACCTTCCGTGATGCATCATCAATGAATGTCAGAAAGTATTTTCTACTACCCAAAGATTCCACTTCAATGGGACCGCAAACATCAGAGTATACTCTGCTTAACAACTCTGATTGTCTTCTGGATGATGAATGGAAAGCTACTCTATGATGCTTCCCAAACAAGCAGTTGTCACAAGGATTTAATTTTGCATCTTTGGCAAAGGGAATAAGTGACTTCTTTGCCAAAATCTGTAACCCTTTCTCACTCATGTGACCCAGCCTTTTGTGCCACAAATTTGGTGATGCCTCGTCTTCTGCTGCGGTGAGGCTATCTGAATTCACCTCCACATGAGTCTTGTATAGTGTGCCAATTACCTGTCCTTTGGCTACCACGAGAGATCCTTTTTTCAACTTCCATATGCCTTTGCCAAAATAGTTCTCATAGCCTTGTCGATCTAAGGCTATCCCTGAAATAAGATTCAGGCGTAAATCGGGAACATGCCTGACATCTTTCAACACCATCGTGCACCCAACTTTGGTTTGGATATGAACATCACCAATTCCCACAATTTTTGAAAAACTGGAGTTACCCATTTTCACTGTACCAAAATCTCCAGCTTGGTACGTACTGAAGAACTCCTTCTGGGATGTAGCGTGGTAGGAAGCTGCTGTATCTACCACCCACTCGGTGTCGTTGTCTGACATATGGAGGCATTCTTCTTCTTCAACAGAGAATAATGCAATATCCTCTGAGACAGTAACTGCTGTGTTCCCATCTTCGGTCTTTGGCTGTCTATTGCCTTGTTGTTGTTGTCCCTTCAAGGCATAGCAATACTTCTTTATGTGACCCTCCTGGCCACAATGGAAACATTTGAACTTTGGCCGGTTCGTACCTTCTCTGGATTTCCCTCTGTCTTGAGATCTTCCTCTGCTGTATCCTCTACTTTTGCTTCTTCTCCTGCCCCTGTCTCTACCTCTGCTTTTATTTTCTGTGACGAGAGCATGGGATTGATCTCCACCCATTTCTTTCTTTCTTGCCTCTTCACTAAATAAAGCATCTGTAACCATGCTCATGGTCAGTTTCCCTTCTGGGGCATAGTTGCTGAGGGACACCACCAATGTCTCCCAACTGTCTGGCAAAGAACTGAGCAGCAGTAGGGCCTGCATCTCATCATCTAACTCCATTTTGACAGTTGCTAGTTGGTTCACCAAATTGTGAAACTCACTGGTGTGTTCAGCAACAGAGATACCGCCTTTCAACTTCAAATTCACAAGTCTTCTCATCAGGAGGGCTTTGTTCCGAGCAGTCTTTGACTGGTACATGCCTTCTAACTTTGTCCAGAGAGCATAGGCATCAGTCTCCTGGGCGACATGGTGGAAGACACTGTGATCAATCCATTGTCTGATCTGGCCAATGGTCTTTCGGTTCTTCCGCTTCCAGTCTTCGTCTTTTTTCGTTGGTGGTTTAACTCCATTAAGCTCAATGGGATCAAACAAATCTCGGCAATACAAGACATCTTCCATTCTGGGCTTCCAAATGGCATAATTGGAAGCATTTAACTTTATCATGGAACCTGAAGTCGACGTTGATTCTTCCATCATACAAAAATGATCTCTGGCTGAAAACAAGTTTTGCTGTGGAGTCCGGACTGGTCAAATTAGCCGGAAAAGCACTTCGGATTGCCAAAATAAAAACTTCAAATTTTTCAAAACTTATTTGCAAAATCTGACCGTACGGATTTGTCCGGAATACTCCAAATAGTTGGAAACCACTATTGGATCACCCAAATCGGATCTCAAATGGCTTAGATCAAGCCAAAACAGATTGAATGGTTCAGATCTGCAGAATCTGGTGCGCCTGCGAAGCACCAGATTATTCCTCCGGTTCTGCTGACGTCAGCGGCTCAGTCAGCGGCTTGGTCAGCGGCTTGGTCAGCGGCTTGGTCAGCGGCTTGGTCAGCGGCTTGGTCAGCGGCTTGGTCAGCGGCTTGGTCAGCGGCTTGGTCAGCGGCTTGGTCAGCGGCTTGGTCAGCGGCTTGGTCAGCGGCTGTCCACTGCCCCTGACGCCGTCCGCCACTTTAATCTGCCTTCTTTTTACAGAAACTCCGTCTCCAAAATCTGACCATACGAATGTGTCCGGAATACTCCAAATAGTCGGAAACCACTATTGGATCACCAAAAACGGACTCCAAATGGCTTCGATCTAGCCAAAACATTTTGTACGCCTCAGATCTGCGGTTGCACCATAGCCGCGTCGCATCGGATTTTTCTTCAGAGTGATGACGTGGCGAGGACGTGTCTGCCATGCGGCGATGACGTGTCTGCCACGTGGCGATGATTGGACGATGACGTGGCGACCACGTGGCAGCCCCTGGCTGACAACTGTGCCACGTGGTGATGACGTGGCAAGATGACGTGGCGCGCGTGTTGATGGCGCGTGTATGGCACGCGCTGTTCCCTCAGTCGTCGTCCTCCTTGCGCCGCGTGTGGGGCGCGTGGGTGAGATTGGGATCACGCGCCGGGTGCCTGTACGGCGCGTGTGGGCGCGTGACGCGACTGGGACTCACGCACCAACTTCCAGGGGCGCGTGAGGGCGCGTCCAGCCTTCGTTGGGTGTCTGCTTTATATTTCTGGACTCCTCTCATCGAGCCCTTGCTCCTAGTATGCTCAAAATCGAATTTCGAGCAATACGATTTCTAGGCAGTTTCGAAACAACACTCTGTTTTTCCGAAAAACGTACAACTTGGCTCTAATACCACTTTGTTAGGATCAAACACACCCAGAAAATTATCTCACACACACAGAGAACACAATATTTACGTGGTTCGGCCCAATGCCTACATCCACGGACAGAAATGAGAAGTTTCACTAAAATGGAGCAAAAAAATGGCATGTTGAATTTTAGCTCTGTATGATCTGCAAAATGCCATGTTTGTACTAAACTAGAAACAAAGGCTTTCAATTCCAAGCTTCGTGATAAGATAATTGCATCAAAATAAGCATATTATATTATAAGGTCCTATTGCTTCACAGGTCACTTGGACAGGCAGCGCCTTTATACATAAAACTAATACGAGCAAAGACAGCTGCTTATCCCATATTTGAGATGATAGAGCGAAACACAATAAGCAAAACGAGCTTGAAAACCAGCAGGAAACTAGTCAATCATGAAGGCCATATCCAATTCAAGGACGTGTGCTTTAGCTACCCATCTCATCCTGATGTTATGATATTCAACAAGCTGTGTCTTGACATACCTTCTGGGAAGATTGTAGCCCTTGTGGGAGGAAGATTGTAGCCCTTCTGGGAAGATTGTAGCCCTGGCATGGTCTCTTCTTTTTTCATTTATGATGTAATGTTATTATGGATTTAATGTTATTATGGATTGTATCCCATGTACTTTATGATGTAATGTTATTATGGATTTATGGATTTAATGTTATTATGGATTTATGGATTTAATGTTTTTGGCTTTGATGAATATATGCAATGAATTTAGAAGCTGTTCATGAATATATGCTGGATCAAAATAAGGATCAAAACTGGTGTACAACATAAGGATCAAAACTGGTGTACAACATATCAGCAGAATGAATTTACAAAAACCATATGAAACCATGATTGCTGGTGTCCATCTACAAAACCATATGCAGAACCATTGCTAGTGTCACACTTCTGGTGTCCATATGCAGAACCATTGCTGGTGTCCATCTACAAAACCATATGCAGAACCATCTACAAAACCATGATTAAACCATGAATTTACAAAAACCATATTAACATCAACCAACATCAACCAATACAAGTTAAATGAACATCTACCAACATCAACCAAGTTAAATGAACATGAACCACAACCAGCTGACTTGGGTTTAATATATAAATTAAAATCAACTGTAACTAAACATCAACTAATACAAGTTTAACATCTAAATTAAAACATTGGTCCATCAAAATTGACACATTGGTCCATGTAATGTAACACATTGGTCCATATAATTTAACATTTGAACACACATTCCTCCATATCACTTTCCAGCAGCAGTTTGCTTCACAATTTCAGAGGTCATGACTTCACTTTCCAACCCAATTTCAGCATCAGTTTGCTTCTGTTTCTGCTTGTCCATAACCTAAAAAAAAAAAAGACAGATAAAATTAATTTAAATTGGTTTATAGATAAAATTAATCTGGTTTATAGATAGGACCATATGTCATATAAGGAAAATTACTGGAATTAAGGAAATTGAATTATTAAAAACCAGATTAAATTACTATAGATAGGACCATAAAAACCAGATTAAATTAAAAACCAAATTGAATAGGACCATATGTCATCTACATTTTGATCATATACTGACATTCCAAAATGATGTTACTTTCAACCATCATTAGATGATGTTCCTTCCAAAATGATGTTCCTTCAAACTTGCAAACCTTAGGATCGCTAGAGACATTCCAAAAACTCAAAAGATTACAGGTTCGAAATTCATGAAGGCCAAAAAACAGAATGCATGAAAGGAACATCATTGGCAAGGAAGAAGAAAACAGAATGAAGATTAACCCCAGCAGAAAGGAAGAAGACTAACCTCTGGTTTGCCAAGGACCCACCCAGACAGAATCTGGAACGATTTGAGATTGGGTTACCGCCGTCGGATCTGCAACGATGTCGCTAGTGGGTCGCCGCCGGTATTGGGCCGTTGGTGAGGGTGGGTTCAACGGAGGGAATGGGTGAGTGTAGGCTGTGTGAGAGGCTGTGTGAGCTGTGCTTTGTTTCAGCGTTGAGAACTGTGTTTTGTTTGGACGGGAGATGAAAGAAAATTTCAATTGTTTTTTTTTTTTTTTAATCTCAGCCGTTGGATGTCCAACGGCTCATCTGAGCCGTTGCAAGTAGGGAATGGATGACTGGCCTCAAGGAGAGGATCCGGACTCTCCAATGCCACCGCCCATCTCTCCACGTGTCCCTCTCATCTCTCCCCTTATAAAATGCTGTCACTCCTCTTCCACCATTTTTAACTTCTCTCTCTCTCTCTGTCTTAATCAAAACTTTATCTTTCATTGCCCAAATCCCTCTGAATCGTCTTCTGTTTTTTCTGACTGACAGTCGAAACCTAGTTCACTTTTTGACTCAGTTTCTATTCTTCTTCTTCTTCTTCTTCTTCTTCTTAGTTGCAATTCGTTTATTCAAATCCCTTCACAAACTCCGCAAAAACACAAGAAAAAAAGAGTGACCAAGATATGGGTCGTTTTTGGACGTTGATCACCCATGTTCACGTACTTGCTGGGTAATTTTTGCCTTTTAAAACTCAGTTTGTTTAGAATAAAAATATTTTTTTATGATATTCTCATTTTTCATTCATTAATTTTTGTGTTTCATTATATCAAAAAATTAAAAAAATATTTTTCATCCAAAAACAAGGGGATAGAACTCCTTCTACATGCTGTTTATCCATTTTTTTGTGAATTTAGTGATCTAATTTTCGTTTTAATTTGTGAATTATCCATGCAGGCCAGTTACGATGCTGTTGTACCCCTTGTAAGTTTATTAGTTTTATTTATTTATTTATTTATTTAAATATTTTCTAGTTATAAATTACTATAGCCGGCTTCAACCAATTAAAGCTTGTTTCTTTCTAATGCTGTGATTGGTTGAAGGATTTGAAGAGGAATTTGGAAAGGAAAAAGGAAAAGATGTGTGAAATTATGTGAAATTTAAACATGTTTTATTCATATTTCACCTACCTTTTCAATTGCCCTTTCCAAATCCCTTCTCAAATTCCCTAACCAAACACAACATAAGCGTCGTTACATGTAGTGTGATGTATATATATTTTTCAATGGTTTGGGTATTTTGTAGATATGCATCGGTAATGGCAATAGAAAGCCCATCAAAGGTGGATGATGAGCAGTGGCTTGCTTACTGGATCCTTTATTCATTCCTCACTCTCATGGAGATGCTCCTCCAACCCATCCTACAATGGTATATAATCCTCATAACAAAATTAGTTGTAAATATATATATATATATATATAGATTAATAAGTTAATAACTATTTCAACTTGATGATTATAAAATAAAATTAATTACGATTAGATCCTCTTAATTTTTAATGAATGTATCATCTTACATCCCTGACTGGTACATGCCTTCTAACTTTATCCAGAGAGCATAGGCATCAGTCTCCTGGGCGACATGGTGGAAGACACTGTGATCAATCCATTGTCTGATCTGGCCAATGGTCTTTCGGTTCTTCCGCTTCCAGTCTTCGTCTTTTTCCGTTGGTGGTTTAACGCCATTAAGCTCAATGGGGTCAAACAAATCTCGGCAATACAAGACATCTTCCATTCTAGGCTTCCAAATGGCATAATTGGAAGCATTTAACTTTATCATAGAACCTGAAGTCGACGTTGATTCCTCCATAATACAAAAATGATCTCTATTTGAAAAAAAAAGGCTTTGCTGTGAAGTCCGGACTGCTCAAATTAGCCGGAAAAGCACTTCGGATTGCCAAAATAAAAACTTCAATTTTTTAAAAACTTATTTTCAAAATCTGACCGTACGGATGTGTCCGGAATACTCCAAATAGTCGGAAACCACTATTGGATCACCCAAATCGGATCTCAAATGGCTTAGATCAAGCCAAAACAGATTGAATGGTTCAGATCGGCAGAATCTGGTGCGCCTGCGAAGCACCAGATTATTCCTCCGGTTCTGCTGACGTCAGCGGCTCAGTCAGCGGCTTGGTCAGCGGCTTGGTCAACTCGGCTTCGGCTCGGCTTGGGGCGCGCGTGCTGATGGTGTAAGACACGCGCTGTTCCCTCAGTCGTCTTCCTCCTTGAACCGCGCGTGGAGCGCGTGTCTGAGAGTGGGATCACGCGCCGGGTGCCTGAACGGCGCGTGTGAGCGCGTGATGAGAGTGGGATTCACGCGCCAACTTCCAGGAGCGCGTGGGAGCGCGTGCGGCCTCCGTTTGGTGTCTGTTTTATATTTCTGGACTCCTCTCGTCGAGTCCTTGCTCCTGGTATGCTCAAAATCGGATTTCGAGCAATACGATTTCTGGGCAGTTTCGAAACAATACTCTGTTTTTCCGAAAAACGTACAATTTGGCTTTGATACCACTTTGTTAGGATCAAATACACACCCAGAAAAATATCACACACACACAGAGAACACAATATTTACGTGGTTCGGCCCAATGCCTACATCCACGGACAGAAATGAGAATTTTCACTAAAATGGAGCAAAATACAAAATACAGAGGAGGAGATGAAACTCACTCAACTCACAGCTCTCACTCTCCAATTTCTGATATATATCACATCCTCTCCCTCCCATCTCTATTTATACACAAAAGGAGTAGATGGGAGAGCCTTCATTCTTGACTTGGGTAGCCTCCATTCTTGACCCTTGCTATGGTTGGTGGCTGCCAAGCTTGACTTGGTTGGTTGCCTTCCCATGTTTTTCATGCATGTGGGTTGGAACAACATTTTGTGCATATCTTGAAGTCATTAATGAAAGCATGATGTAATCTAGTACCAGATTATACATCAATGAGTTGTGGCTTTTTGTCCATCCGGCCCCGGAGATTTTAATGGTCCCAACTGGAACACTGCCTCTTTGATCTCTATATTCGTAACCTATTGGATAAGAAGAGTGTTCAACTCCCTTGTAACCAGAGGCTCCACCACTGACAAAGCTAACTCCATATCTCTAACTCCAGCATCCAAGAACAGATTTTCAAACTATTCGCTATGGCTGTCTATTTCAGTAACAGACTCTACCCACGTACCATCATCCTTTTAGAGTTTTAGAATTTGATTCCGTTGTCGTCGTTGGATAACAGAGGCATGAAAAAAAGAAGAACTTCGGTCTCCATATTGCAGCCATCTAATGCGAGCTCTTTGGGGCAGATACATTTCCTCTCTTCCGAGCAACACTTCTATATCCCTTTTAAGTTGGTTCTGATGGTGCATATGTGCCTCTGTTGGAGGTTGTCCCTGAACCACATTAAGTTGGGATTTAAGGAGGGCATGTTGGAGTTTATTATTCCCAAACACATCGCGACTCCAATTGCGCAGATCTTTCTTGCAGGTTTTGAGCTTTTGGACAAGTTGGAGCATTGGAGACCCCGCAAAAATTTGTGCCCAACCACGTCAAAAAATTTCACCACAGTCTGTATTGGTTGTCCACATTGTTTCGAATTTAAATTGTCTAGGGACATTCTTTAATGGCAAATCACAACATAAAATAATAGGGCAGTGATTAGAGCCAATAAAGATTCATGAAATACCTGGGCTTGAGAATAGAGGACGCGCCATTCCACAGAAGTAACAGCTCGATCTAACCTCTCCCGAACATTGTGTTCTCCCATTTGGTTATTCGACCAGGTGTACGCGGCCCCTTTGAATTCGAGGTCCATTAACTTGCATTTAGATAGTATCTCTTGAAACTTCTGCACTTGACTCATCCAAACTGCCACTCCCCTTGTTTTTCCCGACAGGAGCCTATTTCAATAAAGTCCCCTACACAAAGCCAGGGGTATTGATTTCCTTTAGCAATTTTCTTAAAAGACTCCCAGAACTCTTTACGCACAATTCGTTGAGATGGAGCATATATAAAGGATACTGCCCACTGAGTGAGGCGATTAGATAGAGTAACAACACAATGAATATGATTCTTCGTCTTCTGTCTCACATCTAGCTGAAGGCTGTCATCCTAGGGTGATTATTCAGTACTCCAGGAGTATGGACACGTGGTGCTCCATAATGTTTTGATTAGTGGAGAGACACAAGGGCCCACGATTTATGTTGGAGATGGGGGGACAACATGGGGCTAACTGATTGGTGATTGGTTTGGAGTATGGACACGTGGTGCTCCGGGAGTATTGAATAATTTCTCGTCATGCTACCATAAGGCTAAGCCTCCTAAATTCCCTTCTGGACCAATATAACAAGAGTGAACAAAGTTGAAGTGTCGTCTGATTTGCTCTACTTTGGAACTTTTATTCTTTGTCTCCATGAGGAAGACTAAGTTGGGGCGATGGGTTATACATAACCCTCGAAGGTTCTATACTGTCAGGGGTCATCCCATCCCCTGACAGTTCCAGTTTATAATCAGCATCGAACATGTGGTTGTTGAGGGCTAGCCACCAAAGCCCGTTCAGAAAAAAAAAATCCCCTTCTGTCCCAGGATATGTGCTAGGAACTTGTGAACAGAAGTCTGCCAACTCCATCTGAATTTGCCCCACCTCTAAAGGGAATTAGGCTAAGATCCCATCCCCACACTGAGCCACATCAACTTTCACACCCACTAGCTTTTGCACCCCGATCGTCCCCCTTTGCCCCCTTTCTTTTTGCTACGGAAAGGAACCAAAATGTTACCAGGTTCCAGAGAGGGAGAAGAGGTAGATTTTGTTGTTTGTCCCCAAGGAAGAGCTGGGTTCACCGTGCTTTCCCTTCTTTTAAGAATCTTTAAACATCTTTCTACCTCATTCTCATCATGAAAAGAATCTTTAAACATCTTTCTACCTCATTCTCATCATCGGCCTTTCTTTTCAGTGAGAGGTTATTAAAAACTCTAGCCATACACCCGTCCACGTTTAGAGTTCGTTGCCCTCTGAAGTCTGGACTATTAGCTGGGCTAATCTCTTCAATGCCAATTGGGCTAGGTGGCATTGGGCTCCCTGGTTCAGTAACAAAACAAGAAGGCCCACCATTATGTTCCTCCGCACTATGGGTACGCCCATAAATACAGCTCTCCTCTCTATCCTCTTCTGTAGCTGGCCCCCAGTAGGAATTTGTGGTTTTATCCGTTACGTTAGAATTTTGCTTTCCTACCACGCCTTGTGCACCTCCTTTACTACTAGGCTCTCTGCTGTGTTGTCCTTCCAAGGATAATCCTGCTGTATCTGGTGCCAGGGTACTCCTCCCAAGTCGTGACTCTGTTCCACTACCTTGCCCGGACACCTCAGTACCTGCTGCCACTGTGCATGCAGAAACTTCACGCGCCTCCCTTGGAAAGTCCTCCCCCAAAATTTTCTTCAACCTGACCTCCGCCGCATCTACTTGTCGACGATAGTGTTCTATCGGGAGTCCTGTGCTGCCAGCAGTGCCGGTTCACATGGCTGGCCCAAACCCAGCTGCCTGACCCTCATCTCTGGATACAAACTTACACGAACTATTAACATGGCCAATGCGACCGTAATCATAACAGAAGTCAGCCAGCTTCTCATATTTGAAAAAGAACCATGAATCTGCAAACGCTTCTGAAGAGTTGCCCTTGCGTTTGAGGAAAAATCCTTTGGAAAGAGGTTTGGTTACATCAACTTCCATTCGTATACGAAGGAAACTCCGATAGAGAAGGAGCCCTTCAGTATGAGCTTCAACCCGTACTAAACGCCCAAATTTCCACCCTATCATCTCACCATTAGACTTCGTGAGATTTTCAGGGGGCAACCCATGCGCTTGCACCCAAAAAAGAGCCCATCAAAACTCTATCTCTGCTACCGGTGTATCTATCGATAGGGGCTCAAGAAGCAACGTATTGCCCATGATAGTCCATGGTGCCTCCGCTAGAATCTTCTTGCGATCCTCCAAATCCTCAAAAGTGAACAAGAACACATTATCGTTCCATGGTGCGATAGTCAAGGGCTTCATCGTCTTCCAAGTCCCCATCAAAATTGAGGTCTCAGCTTGTCGATTCAGTCGTTTTGAAGCAAAGATCTTCCCAATCAGACAACGAGTAGAAACATCCTCATTTTTCCTTGAGCCTTCCTCAAGGTCCAAAACTTCCTCTCTACAAGTGGGTATCTAGGTTGCCGCCATCTCCAAAACAGAGCACTCCAAAAAAAGCACCACGAACACAGAAAAGAAGGGATCAGTGGCCTTACTACGAGGAACTTTTTTAGTAGGAATAAAGCTTCAGATCCCAAGAAAGAAAAGAAAACTGGGATGACCCAGAGAACTACCGTAGGGTAGAGAGGCTCTCATAGAGAGAGAGAAGTTTTAGTTAACTGCATGTTGGACACAGAATTTTCGGTCTCCAAAA